TAATTAAGGAAAAACTGATATGCCCAAAGTCAGAGATCTCACAGCTGGATTATGTATGTGAGCTGAGAGAAAGATTAAACGAGTAGGTGAATTAGCTGGACAACATTTGAAGGTGGCACAGCATCATGAAGCAAGAAGCAGATTAGCAATCTAAAATTTGTACGTTTGCCTGTGGAAATAAAGTATTAGTGCTGTTACCAGTGGTAGGAAATCCCTTCAAAACAAGGTTTAGTGGTCCCTATCAGATTGAGAAGAAGTTAAAGATGCCAGATAGGAAAGTAAATTTATCGGGTATGTCACGTGAACATGCTGAAACCTTACTATGACAGGGAAAGGAAACCAGAGAAATGGGTATTAGTTACTGCCATGCAGAATGAGGAATGAAATCCAGATTATTTGGATTCAGAATAAATTGAATCATGAGAAAGTCCTTAAAGAATGGGATAAGCTATCTGTCTCAGGAACAGAGAACTGAATTGAAAGGCTTGTTACAGCACTAAGAGGACATATGTAGAAATAGAATGGGAGGACTAATACTATAGTATATGATGTGTTTTTTTATGAATTCATGGGATGAGGGCATCACTGGGTAAGCAGCATTTATTGCCCATCCCTAATTGCCCAGAGGGCAGTTCGGAATCAACCACATTGCTATGGGCCTGGAGTCACATGCAGGCCGGACCAGGTAAGGGCGGCAGTTTCCTTCCCAGAAAGACATTAGTGAACCAGATGGATTTTTCCTGACAATCGACAATGGGTTCACAGTCATCATTAGACTCTTCATTCCAGATACTTTATTGAATTCAAATTTCATCATCTGCCATGGCAGGATTTGAACCCAGGTCCCCAGATAGTTATCTGGGACTCTGGATTAACAGTCAAGTGATGATACCACTAGGCTATTGCCTTCCCCATGATATGTTCCGATAAAACAACAATCCTACAGGTTTAATCGTTTCAAAGCAGCACTGGTACAGAGGACGTGGAAGCAATGGTCCAAGAAGACATCATTGAACCAAGTCATAGCGAGTGGAGTTTGCCGATCATGTTGGTTACCAAACCTGATGGTACTCAACGATTCTGCATAAATTATCAGAAGGTCAACGCCATGACTAAATCAGACTCATACCCAATTCCAAGGCTGGAGGACTGTGTAAACAAAGTTGGACAAGCCACTTACATTACAAAGTTGAACTTACTTCGCGGTTACTGGCAAGTATCTTTGTTGGAGACAGCAAAAGAAGTTTCTGCATTTGTAACCCCAAATGGGTTGTATCAATTTAAAGTAATGCCCTTTGGAAAGAAGAATGCACCAGCCACATTTCAAAGACTTATGAACAGAGTTGTGGCTGGATTAACCAACTGAGTTGTCTATATAGATGACTTCATGATCTTTCGCCATCTATGAACAGATCACATGGCATATTTGGCACAGCTCTGAGATATTACGGAAGGCAAAGTTGGCCATAAATTTGGCAGACAGAATTCGCAAAGACGGATGTGATGCTCTTTGAACACAACATTGGACATGGAAGGTGGACACTGAGGAATATGAAGACGAAGGCCATCAAGGAATTTCCAAGTCCATCCTCAAAGAAGGAAGTGCTACGATGTTTGGGACTGAGCAGATTCTACCAGAAGTTTGTACGAAACTTTAGTGGCACGGTGCACCACTGACAGATTTGTTGAAGAAGAACACAGAATTTTGGTGGCCAGGAGGCATTTGAGAATTTTAAAGCTGTGTTAACCACTGCAAAACGTTTAGCCACGCCAAATTTCTTGAAATCCTTTAAAGTCGCTATCATGCAATCGATATAGGAGTTGGAGCTGTGTTGTTATAGGAGGATGGTTGTGGAATTGAAAGGCCAATTGGTTATTTTTCATAGAAACCTCGATATCGACCAGAGAAAATATTCAACCGTTAAAGAAGAGTTATTGGTTTGGTACTGGCCTTAAAACATTTTAATGTTAATGTTGCAAACCATATATCAGAGACAGTTGTGTATACTAATCACAACCCTTTGACATTTTTGGAAAGACAAAGAGAAGAACACCAGACTATTTCATTGGAATCTTATGTTACAAGCACTTAATTTATAGATTATACATGTTACACGTTGTGAAAATGTTATTGTGGATGCATTGTTGTGAGTTTAAAAGGAAAATGTGTGTATAAAATAGACACAGTAGTGTTACATGTTTAAAAGGAAACTGTGTGTATAAAATAGACACAGTAGTGTTACATGTTATATATATGTATATAGAATTAATATGAAATGTGTAACTCTAGATTAATGACCTATGTATCTGATAATAATGGTGTTAAGATTTAGGAAAAAAGAAGCCTTTTCATTATGATGTTCATTTTTGCTTAAGGGGGGAGATGTTCCAAAGCTGGTATATTATCTGTGGATTGGAAGGCAGGACGTTAGAATTTGTTTGTAAAATAATAGGGAGAAGAGTGCATGGTCCCTTTAAAAAAAAAGGTTTTTTTTAGGCTTGGAGATTAAAAAAATGTCTGCAGGCAGCAGCAGATGCATAGAGTTTTTGAAATTGAAATATTGTATCAAAAGGCTTTACTGTTAGCAGGCAAAACAGCATTTTTACCAAGAGAACAGGTTTTTGAATTTAGCCAATTAATTTAAACCAGGCCCCAGATACCAGAGCCCAATTAAATTTAAATCTGATGGTTTTGACAACTCTGGTGATCCTATTGTAAGAAATTAATAGGTCATCAAGAGTATAAAAGAAGAGGTCATTTTAAAATTGGGTATGAGAACAAACTGCCATTTGTTAAGAGAATATCTCTCAATAGCAATCAGCTCTAACAAAATACAAAATCACTGGCTCTCACAGAAATCTGTAAGATCTCAGAGTAAGCACCATCTAAATAAAGGCACTATGGCACTCTTAGCTAATATTGCTGACACAAGAATTTGACAGAGGAAAGTGTTCCTGACTGGAGGACAGCGGAGAAGGCAAAGAACATTCCAGAAAACTTATTCTGGCTGTAATTGAGAGATTAAGCATTCATTTTTAAGAATTAATTTGTTTATACACATGGGAATTGTATCTATTAGAACAGCATACCATTAGAATTTTGTTTTATTCGGGATAAAGTGGGTATCATTTAACCACTCCTTTAACAGATTACTAGGCGAAGCAAGCTTCTATGGGGGTTTCGGTTTTAATTATCAGAGAGGTGTCGACCACACCAATGAATCAGTTCACATTTCTCTACATTGAACTTCACCAGCCACTCATCATTTCATTCTATCAACTGGTCTACATCCTTTTAAAGTTCTATACTCTTCGCTTCACCAGTCACAATATGTTGAAGTTTTGTATCATCCACAAACCTTAAATTTTACCAAGATCTAGGTAATTTACATTTATAAAGAAAAGCCCCAAACTCTAACCCCTGGGGAAATTCACTGCAAACATTTCTCCAGCCTAAAAACCATCCATTAATCATTACTCTGCTTCCTGGCATTCAGTTTCTGTGAACTATAACTTGTGACTTTAGACTGCTTAAAGACATTTAAATATCTTCTCATAAATAATGCAACTGTTCAGGAACTTCAATTTGGTATCCAGTGTCTATACAAATTAGTCTGTGTTGTATCAAAATTTGCAGGAAAAAGAAAATTGAGTAGAATTCAAAAATTAGCCAATGCTGCAACATAATATCTTTTATATTTGGTAGCAGCTTTGTTTAGTTTTATGGACATCTTGTCTCCATTTGAAATGGTAAAACGTGACTGGCATGTATCTATTTTCCAATTGGTTATAAATATAGAAAATCTTTTAAAAGCTGGTTGTCAAAGCAGCAAATACGGTTTTGTCATGTTGTTTTCAGTTTACAGCAAATCTCAAATCTTGGATGAGTTTGTGTTCAAATGCCATTCAGTCAGTATTGTAACTATAGTAACTGTCATAGTGCAATTCCATCCATGTTATAGCTAATGCTAATAATAATAACAAACATATTATGGACGTTTCTCCTTAAAGTACTTAAGACATTTATACAAGGCTTCTTATGGTACATGCACTATTTTGCCGAAAAGAACATTTCCGAGCTTCTGACTCCATCCCACTCCATGGCCACAACGAAAAAAGATTAAGCTAGTCTAGACTTGACATCACAATTGCTTCGGAAATGAATTTTCATACTCATATTCTGTGATTTCCAAGACCACATAAAACTTAGGATGCAGAGCATTTAATCCTGCAGACTAGTCAGCCTTTTGGGCTAATGTGATGGTGATTGTTTTATGTTCATCTTTCTTTATCACCTATTGATTTTCAATTATCTTCGGGAAGTTTTCAAAGTCTTCTACGCTAAGATAGACACAAAATACCTGTCAAAGCCTCTGCCGTTTCTTTGCTTTTCACTACCAATTCCCAGTAGTAGCATTACCTATTCCTCTCCTGTTCAAATACATGTAGAAATTCTTACTATCGTTTTCATTGCTACCTTTCTCCAATACACTGCTTTCAGCCTCCTCATTATCTCTACTTCATTAACAGCCTGTTTTCAATTATATATCGTCGAGCGACATAGGGTGAGACAATGAGACCCAGGAGCAGAAGTGGGCCATTCAGCCCACCGAGTCTGCTCCTCCATTCAAGGAGGTCTGAAAACTTACGTTCGTTATATACATTTGTGTCTAAAAACATGATACGAACCATAAAACAAAACAATTAGATAACAAATTGATCCTCGCACATTTTGGAACTGTGTCATAGCCGGTGAAGTGCAGCGAATATGAAGTAAAAGATTGTCAAGCCTAAAACAGACGAAGAAAACTTCGCTGTGCTCTTGTCAACCTCAGCAGCAACCAGCGCTCCGAACGCGTGCGCTGCCGCGGAAGGCTGGGCGGAGCGGCTGAGGGGGTTGGGAGGAGCTGCGGCCGCGGAGGGTCGAGCGGAGCGGCGAAGGCGCGCGGCCCCGGTGGGTTGGACGATGGCGCGCGGCCGCAGTGGGTTGGGCGGAGCCGCGAACACGGGAGTGAAGAGCTTGTGACGTTGCACACCTGCTCGCGAGCTTTGTGATGAGAGTTTCGAGCGAAGATCGAACAGCGGAGCGAGACCGATTGTAACTGACAGCCAGCGGCACCGTGTCTCCTGAATGTGGCGGTGGGCAATTCGGGTTCAATGAGCTGCCATCGCTGAACTTAGACTGGCGGCAGCTATCCTTTTACTTTCCGAGTGTGTGGTCAAGGTACAGCCGGAGGAGGCGGAGAGGGTGCGCGCGCAAGCATCTTGTCAATATTTGCAGGGAGTTGGCAGCATTGGGAAGGGCTGAAATATGTGTGTATATGTATATAAAAAGCAAAGCTTGGGTGGTACTGTCTCCACCTCACGACTGGTGCAATCTTAAAAACCCCAGAGGAGCTGGTCACTCAGTCAGTATTCAGGCATCGTAGGTGAACAACACAGGTAAAGGAATGTCGGAGAACTGTTTGTAAATGCAGAATAAATCCCTATCCGCGCCCTAAGATTATAAATAAGATGCAAGTTAATCCGGAATCAGGACGAGTTAGTTTAAGCTTGATTACTGCCTTGCAGTTTCCGCTCAGTTTGCACCTAAGAATGATCACAGGGAAGCAGAGCAGCCTATCTGCGCCCGTGTGATTTGGCAGTAGGCAGGACTGCCAAGATGTTTTATGAACTGGGTTTGTTTATTTTGCAGCAATCAGTTGGTGAGGAAAGTATTCACTCCCACAAGAATATTGTGGGAGTTACAAGTGGTAGTCCAAGATGTTAGTATGTTAATTAACTTTCATTTGTCAGGTAGTTAAGATGATAGCTAGCAGAGCCACACAGCCCAGACAGGCCTTTCAGCCCAACTAGTCCATGCCCACCACGTTTTCTAAACTGAATTGATCCTACTTGCCAGCGTTTGGCATGTCCCTATAAACTGCAGAGAATGCGTCATATGCAAGTATATTTGCAAGGTGTTGAAGGAGTCGTTCCTCATATAAAAATAATGATACAGTTGGCTAATAAGCTGTGGTGAATGTTGAGCAAAATATACAAACACATTGGAAATTAGTCTAACAGTCCAAAATATGGTTGAAAATCAATAGGTGATGGGAAGAGTGACGAATTTAAATATGAGTCTTTGCTAGGGAAAAGGTGCTTGGGAAAACTATTGGGCCCAAAGGCTGACAAGTCCCAAGGACCAAAAGCAGAAGTTGCTGGAAAAGCTCAGCAGATCTGGCAACATCTGTGAAGAAAAAATCAGAGTTAACGTTTCGGGTCTGGTGACCCTTCCTCACCGGACCCGAAACGTTAACTCTGATTTTTTTTCTTTTACAGGTACTGCCAGATCTGCTGAGCTTTTCCAGCAACTTCTGTTTTTTGTGCCTGATTTACAGCATCCACAGTTCTTTAGGTTTTTATTTAATCTAAGTCCCAAGTGCAGTTAGCCTGCACTGAAGCGTTGCCAAAGGTAATAGATATTCTTCCAAATTTCCTTAAATTCTGGAAGGCTCTGAGGAGATGGGAAAATATGTTGCATCCTTATTCAAGAAAGGAAGGGAAACAAAGTAGGGAAAGTATAGATCAATTAGATTACCATTTGTCATTAAGAAGCTGCTGGAATCTGTTATTAAGGCAGGATGCCTGAGTGGCAAGTGCCACAGAACAAGTACATATAATGTAGGAGGTAACATATTAACACAGCTATAGAACTAAACAGCAAGCAGAGCGTAGGAATAAATGGATCATTTTTGGGTCCTCAACAACTTAATTTATATCAATGATTTGGCTGAGGGGACCGAATCTTTCATGACTAAATTTGCTGAAGATATCAGGATAGATTGGAAATAAGTTGTCAGGAGGAAATAGAGAATCTTGAAAGGATTACAAACACAGTACACAAATGATGGGTGAAGTGGTGGTAAATGAGTTCTCTGTTTTGACAGGTTAAAAAGTATACCATTTTAATGGAAAGAGATTGTAAGACCCAATGTATAGGGCAATCCTTGTGCATGAATCACAAAATGTTCGTTTGTAGGTACAGCAAGTGATTAGGAAGGCAAGTGAAATGTTGGCATTTATTGCAAGGGGAATAAGATATGAGTAGAGAAGTTTTACTGCAGCTGTACAGGTTCTTGGTGAGAATACATCTGGAGTACTGTGTAGTTTTGTTGTCTTATTTGGAAGAAGGGTATAATTACTTTAGAATTAGCTCAGAAAGTTCTTGCCACTTATCCCAGGATTGAAGGGCTTATCTTGTGAAGGAAGGTTGAACAGATTGGACCCATATGCATTGGATCTTAGAAGAATGGGAAGTGATTTTATTGAAAAATAAGGTCATGAAGAGACTAGATGAGGTGGATGATGGGAGAATATTTGTGGGTGAGAAAATTAGGAGCTGTAGTGAGAGATTTTGGGGTGCTCTTTAATGTTAATTGTAAAACATAAGTTAGTTATAATTACAGACTTAAGCTTTGGAAGAGCCAATCTAAACTTTACTCGTCCTGATTTTTAACAAGACCCATTCCAGCAACAAAAATGTTTTTGTATGCTTTGCAGAATTAAGTTGTTCATAACAAGAACAAAAGAAATAACACTTAATAAAAGCAGTGGCTTTCAGCCTATCCAGGATGGGATGCCAGTTTGTGACACTGGTTTGACTGGGCACAGGTCTCCTGTTTATGTGTCCTTCTTGTAACCCAAGTTTAATTAAACCTTGCTATCTATTATCTCTTTACATAATCAGAGGCATCTTAAAATCTAATTGACTTATTAGTGCATGAGTTCATGGCCAATCTTTAATTAGCTGAACAATATTTGCCCAAATCCTGATTTTTTTTTTTAGAAGTAATAGTCCTCATAGTTACACCACGTCCTAATATCTCCCCATTCATTCTTTAACATAACCATAAGACATAGGAACAAATGTAGACAATTCAGCCTATTGAGTATGCTCCACTGTTCAATGAGATCATGGCTGAACTGATAATCCCCAACTTCACTTCCCTGCCTATTCCACCATCCCTTGATTCCCTTACGGATTAAAAATCTATCTATCTCAAATGACTCTCTATGGTAAAGAATTCCATAGATTAGTTACCCTCAGAGAGAAGAAATTGCTCCTCATCTTTGTCCAGCGCTGAAGAAAGGTCACCGGACCAAAAACGTTAACTGATTTTTTTTTTTCACAGATGCTGCCGTACCTGCTGAGCTTTACCAGCAACTTCTGTTTTTGTTCCTGATTTACAGCATCCGCAGTTCTTTCAGTTTTTTTTTTAACTGAGATTTGGCCTCTGGTCCTACATTCTCATTCAAGGGGAAGCCACCTCTCCCACATCTATCCTATAAGAATCTCATAGGTGTTGCAGCAATGTTGCTTCTGGTTCTTCTAAACTCCAGTGAATACAGAGCCAATGTATTCAGTCTGTTTTACGAAAATCCCTCCAAACCTGTGATCAACTAAGTGAACTTTCTATGGATTCTCTCCAATGCCAATATATTTTTCCTTCAATCATGGGCCCAAAACAGTTCACCATATTCTCGGTGTGGTCTGACTTGGGCCTTGTATATTTTTAACAAGATTTCCCTATTTTTGTATGTTGTTCCCCTCTAAATAAAGGCCAATATTTCATTTACCTTCCCCGTTACCTGCTGAGTTTGTACACTAGCTTTTTGTGATTTATGTTGGGGACCCACAAATACCTCTGTGTTGCAGCTTTCTGCAGTCTTTCTCCATTTAAGTAATATTCAGCTCCTCTTCTTCCTGCCAAAGTGCACAGCCTCACATTTTCCGACATTATATTCAATCTGCCATTTTTTCCCTAATCATTTAATCTGTCTATTTCCAGATATTGTGGTTGGCAACAAAGTTTTTAGAAGGATCCCATCCCTGTTGATCTCTCACCACGATCCATTACTACTTGCCTGGATTTCTATTTCGGTCACCATTTCAGGATTGAATGTACCTTGTTAAATCCCAAATTTGTCCTCTGTCACTTCCTTGCTTCCTAAAAGGCCCTTCAAGATATCAGTCACTGTCGTTTTGGACTTAGCAAGCTCAACTACCAATCCCACTCCATCCCCTCTCATGTCTTCTGAGGATAACCTCACTAATCTAATGTTAAAAAGTAGGAGTAGGTCATTCAGCCATTTGTGTGTGCTTGGCCATTCGGTGGTTAATTGCTGATTTATCTGAACTCCACTTTCTTGCACTCTCCCCGTGTCTCTTAATTGCCTTCAAACCCAAAATAGTAATTAATCTCTGAATATATTTAGTGATTGAGCATTTCCATCTTTCTAGGATGGCAAATTAGAATGATTCACAATCCTTTGTAGGTTTGGCCTGTACTGATTTGAATTTAGAAGGATGAGCATTATTGAAACATACAAGATGACTTGACAGGTTAGATGTGAAAAGTTTGTTTCTCTATATCGAAGAGTCTAGACCAGAGGGTATGATCTCAGAATAAGGGATCACACATTTAACACAGTAATGAGGAGGAATTTGTTCTGAGAGTAATGAATCTATGGAATTCTTTATCAGAGAGTATATTCAGGGGTGAGTTCAACAGCTTTTTAATCAGAAAAGCAATCAAGGGTGTGGGGGAAAAGGCAAGAAAGTCAAGTTGAGGGCTATCAGATTAGCCATGATCTCATTGACTGGCAGAGTAGGCTCATAGGACTGAATGGCTTCCTTCCACGCCAACATCTTTTGATCCTGTGATATATGGGAATAAACAGATGGGGCATCTATGAAATGTACGCCAATAATCATGGGTGAATTTAAGCTATATGTAGTTTGAACAAACCAGATTGGCAAAGGTAACCCAGAAAATGAGTCCAGAGAGTGTATGTGTGACAAGTTATAGAGTAGGACATTCTAGAGCCATATAGGGAGCAGGTAGACCTGATAAATGAGCATTAAGGCAGAATCAATTAATAACTACAGGGTGAAGGGGCCTCAAGGTGACAACATTCATAACATGGTAGAATTTTATACTCTGCTTAATGGGGGCGGTGAGGGGGCAGTGGGTAAGTTTGGTTCTAAAGCTATTATTTTAAGGCTAAAGAAAGGTAATTATAATGGTATAACTATAATGGTATGAAGGCAGAGCTGATAAGAGTGAACTGGGAAAGTAAGTTAGAAGGTAGGACACCAGAGGTGCATTGGGCGAAAACTTTTGAGGAGGTATTTAATAATTCTCAGTGAAGATGTATCCCAGTGAGAAAGAAAGACAC